TTGCATTTCTTAATGTCCCTTTAGTTCTATCATAAATCGCAATCATGACATTATGAGAGTATTTATGGAGTTAATACAATTCAGCTCTCATCAGTGCCTGCCTTTTCCTTTTTTTCTTTCTTTTTTCTTTTTTTTTTTCTTTTTTAGATTTCCTGCCAGTAAGTAGAAAAGACCCATTTGGAATTTGAGAAAACATCCAGAGATGTCTTCGAAAATCTGTACTTCTAAATTCATACTTTGTTTTATTAACAGATGTACATTTGAAGGGGAAATACCATATACTGTAAGCCATTTGGGAATATTCTGCCTGTCAAGGATGACTCACGCTTTTCATTTCAATGGCGTGGATGCTGAGAGCTTAAACTCCAGACTCATCTGTACTCTAATTCTAAATCATTTTTTCCATGAACTCTGCAAGCATTTTATGATAAACACACACATGTGTATGACGTATGTGACCTCACTGGGAGTTTTCTGCAGTGTCAAGTGTTATTGGAAGATACCCAAGAATTGATTGACACATATCTTACAGAACTGGAGTTAATTAATAGGTCTACCAATTCCCAAATGTACCACAGGAAAGAGAAAATCTGTTTAAGACAGCAATCAATGACATACTGTGTGTGGTCAGGAGGTATTCATGATACAGCAAAAGTAGATTTTGCAATACGCTATTCAGGAGTGTAAATATAGTCAGGTGGCACATAACATTTTGGTTAATGATGAACGGCATATAGGATGGTAGGCCCCTAGGATTATAGTGGATCTAAAAAATTCTTATTGCGTAGTGACCTCATAGCCATTGGAAAGCCTTGTCTCTGTTTACATATGTTTAGATGCACAAATACTTATTATTATGCTACACATTGCCTACAATATTCAGTACAGTAACGTACTGTACAGATGTACAGCTTTAGGAGCAATAGGCTCCACCAGATAGCCTAGGTATATAGTAGGCTATCCCATCTAGGTTTGTGTAAGTACACTCTATGATTTTTGCACAACAGTAAAATAGCCTAAGGACATATTTCTCAGATTCTATCTCTGTTGTTAAACAACTCATTATTGTATGCTATTAAAACGCTTGAAGGGTAAAAGAGGTCTATTTTCATAACTAGAGGACGAAACTGAAGGTTATTTTGCAAATGGTTGTATTATTACTTTAAAGGAGCTATTAATTTCCTCCTATAAGATCCAAAGCTATTAAATAATTAAGTAAGCCCTGATTTCCTTCAAAGTGATGTTTTTACTTCTGGGGCATTCAGCCATATAGGATGCTAAGTCTATAATGTCATTTTCTGACAATGGAGTTGCAACATTCTTGAAAACAGAATGTAAGATGATAAGTTGTTTTAAAAGGAAGAGCACTGCAAAGAAAAAACTGAATGTTTAAATGTCCATAAAAGTCTTAATAGAAGCAACAAATGAAATGTCTTTTTTTCTATGATAAAATTATTTGTAATATGTCTAGACAAAATTTTAAAAGGAGATTAGTCTTTCATCATTTTGAGTGGGGCAGGTAATAGCAAAGTACATACACAACTTCTAAACTAGAATTTAGGAGAAAAATGGGTTCTTTATCTGAAGAGTTGTCCTTGAGAAAAGAAGTTGATATATTCAAACTCTGTGAGAGTTTATGAACTCTAAGCCAATAATCCTGGCCTCTGTTTCGATTGCTATTTTATTTCTGACTCTCCCGATCTTTCTCTTACTGTCTTCTCCCAATAGTACGAAGTATACACTGTCTCTTTTTTTCAACTTCACAAACAGCATAACAATTTAAATCCAAAGGTAGTGTTTTAAGTATAATATAGATGAATTTAAAGCAGATTCTCTCTTAAGGCAGCTTAAGCATTGAAAATTAAATTTGATGTAGTCTAGACAAGCTATATTGATAATATCTTTTCCAGAATTTCATAGATTGACTGTCTAGACTGCTTCAAATTCCCCAGGTAATTGCATAATCATCTTACTTCTGATCCCCTAAACAGTCTGGAACAGCATTTCACAATCTATAGTTATCATGCAAATCAAAATCACTGAGCTTCTGAAGGAGGACCTCTCTCAAAGCCTGTGAGTTTCAGAGTCTCAGGAAAATACTCGCATTTCAATCTTCCATCTCAGAATGCTTGGACAGGAAGCTTTATATATTGGCTATTTGGGTAGAGGAAATCCTGGTAAATGGCCTGGCTCCAGAACCTGTACCTCTTCATTTCCCCAGCGGCCCACCCATAGGGCAGCAATGAGTAGTTGATGAGTGGAAGAGGAAATAGACTGTTAACTCTATTAAAATCTCAACTTCAAAAATCAACATTTCGGGAAAATGATAAAAATGCAAGGATAACATATGGCGTTTTAATTTAAATGACCATCAACATCATGTAAGCCTCGCATTTAAAAAGGGGAAATTAAGAAAGGTGCAGAATCACCCGGCAGCCATGAGAATCCAGTGCCATAATTTACAATCTCTGATGAAGTGAGAAACATTTAAGAGGCAAAGTGACAACTGCTATTAAGCAAAACAGCAACACAGGTTTTAGGCTGTGATGCAGATTTATATTTTGTATTAAACAGGTATAGACTTGTATTTTAAAATAGTTATAGTTTCTAATATTAATTGACTTCTTTTAGTCCTTATTATCCATTAGACAATGTTTAACTTTCACAACTGTATGAGGTACAGACCATTTTCCTTAAAAATTTCTAGCTTAGAAACTTAGATACAGAGGAGGTAAATAATTTGCACCAGATTAAGCAGCTAGTACCAAGCTGAGGTTGAATGCAAGCTCTGCAGTCTGAGGCTAGCAGATATGCTTTTACCAATGGTGGGATTAAAACTCCTTGAGTTTCTACAGGGACCAAAAAAAAAAAAAAAAAAAAAAGTCAATGGGTCATACTGTGCTAAGAGCGGTAGAAGGCAGTTAGAGGTGATAAGTTAACCGTGCATTTAAAATATACAGACCCCGAGAATCAAAAGATTGTTTTTAGCTTGTGTTGCATGTGTGAGACAGAGTCTCAGAGAAGTTAAGTAATATTTCCAGTGCTCCACAGCTAGTAAGTTGTAGAGCAAGATCTGAAGACAGATGCGACACCAAAGTCCAGGTCCTTTCTGCTAATTTGTGCTAAAAGTTCGGCATTCCTGCTGGGCTCTGTCACTCACGCCTGCAATCCTAGCACTTGGGGAGGCCAAGGTCGGTGGATTGCCTGAGCTCAGAAATTCGAGACCAGCCTGGGCAACAAGGTGAAACCCTGTCTCTAGTAAAATACAAAAAATTGGCCAGGCATGTCGGCATGCACCTGCAATCCCAGCTACTTGGTACTTGGGAGGCTGAGACAGAAGAATTGATTGAACCTGGGAGGCAGAGGTTGCAGTGAGCCAAGATCACGCCACTGCACTCCAGCCTGGGCAACAGAGCGAGACTCCATTTCACACACACACACACACACACACACACACACACACACAAAAGTCAACATTCCTTATTCCATTGCCAATCATGTAGACCATAATTCCTGACGCATGTAAAAAGTGCAATACCATGACTCATGTAAAAAGTGCAATATCATGTGGAGGGGGTTCTCTAGAGCTACCTTCAGAATATAGAAAAGTGAGACAATTGCCTTGCACGCAAGCTTTAGGAAAACTGATGTATTACAATAAGAATTGGTTGAGAAGACAGCAAAGAGAGAGTGACTAAATCAGGTGCTAAAACAAATTACATGTACAAAGTCTCCAGTACCATGTGCATAAATTTATCCCTAATTTAATCAATGTAAAACAAGCAACATCAGTAGAATTGCCTGTCCTAAAGTTGCTTTTTACTTAAAACTCTTCAGTCTGTCAGCATAAATACTATACATATGGGCTTATAAAAAAGAGAAGAAGGAAGGATATGGTTGGGGAAATAGGATGAAGAGATACTGGCAACTAGTGAGATCTTGGGAATGTGTCTTCCCTGGTTCATCAAGAAGAAAAAATAATTGTGTTTAGTCTAGAAACTGCATAATATCTAAGGTGATTTCTTATACAAAGAAGATATAACAGAAACTATTTTGATTTCTAATTCATTTGGGTCAAAAGACATACTTATATCACTTTGGGACACTTTATGAAATTTAGGGAGAGAGTCTAAAGTTTAAGTTATAAAGAAGTGAATACCATGTCAATTTTATTTTATCTTTAGGATATCAGAAATATTTCAAGAATAAGTCCTTTATTTGTTGAGTATTTCTGAGTTCCAGTTTTGAAGAAAATTCTGTCACCAATGATTTTCTCATCACGTGAACACTTTTGTTCCTCTTAGGATTTCATGCCAAAAATTACAAGAGGGTTTATAATTGAAGTCTATTGATAAGCCAGATTCACCAAACTGCTTTCAACATTAGCAACTTTTTCTTTATCTTGATTTTTACTTAAATGTACATAATTTCCTCACTAAAACATCTTTACAAGGAATAGAGAGATTAAAAAAAAATTTTTTTTTCTTTCCCATACTTCCAAAATAATAATCAAAAATATACAATCAAAGCTTAGCCAAGCAAGAATACAAATGTGAATAATGTGAGTCAAACCTGAGACCAGATCATTGTGCAAATGTATGGCATCCTTTCTTAATCCCTAGGCAGAAGAAAACAACTGGTGGCAGACACTTCTGGCTGAGGATGGAAATGGAGGAGAAGGCTGGCAACATACAAATGAAGGAGAAAACACCACACATTCAGCCTGCTAACATCTGCTGCACATGCAAAATGGATTGGACTCTAATCCAGGGTGAAAACAAATGCTTTCTTCCTTCCTTCCTCCTGCTCCCTAGTTTTTGTTGAGTGATGTTCTCATTCTTTTTGCATTCACAGATTAAAATTAATAACAGCATCTGAATTTGAAGTAGGTCCCACTGAATAGTGAACCAGAAGCAAAATGAACTGAAGAAATTAGTAATGAAGCATTTTGAATAGAAAGGGGTCATGGACAAACATAATTTTTTAAAAGCCAGCTTTACCTCAGGATGATGTCCAATTTCAATGTAGGTGCAAATTGGATGAAAAGCCCCCGTTCCACAGGCGTACAAGTGAGTCTGATTATATGCCTTAAGTACCTTGATGAAATTAGCACATTCTTTCTGTAAGACAAAAGGAAAACCAAAGATTTTCAGCAATCAGCATGACTGAGGTATCCTCTAGGGTGCTAGGCATGCTGGAACAGATTTGTCTTTTGTTTTCTTTTTTTAGCATCCCTTTCACAACATTGTAAGGACTTATTTATTTTTCTATTGTTTTGTTTATATTATAACACGCATTAAAATATAGAGTTTCTTACTCTGGTGAGAACAATTATTTTATGACCTTCCATCAGTCTTTCATTAAAACTATTTTTAATTTATTTATACAAAAGCAGAAAAAAAAATTAGATAATCAATAATCACAGGTGATTTTTCCAGAAATGAGGAGAGCAGCAAATTACTTGATTAACTAATGAATTAACTAAACAAAATGATGGTGAAAATTTACTTGCAAAAATCAGTTTTCAGTTCCATTTTAGGAAAAGAAAACAAAAATATAATATAATATGACCCTCTAATAAACATAAAGTTTAAACATCATTAGTAATCCATTTTGGAAATATCCAAATGAGTATTCACATGGTAAATAATAAAAACTGCATTCAAAATGATTTTGTTAAAGGCTATAGACTTCCTTAACTACCTTTTTTTTTTTTCTATGAACATTTGGAATTAAGAACCAAATATGTAACTATAAATGCAATTAAGGATCAAGTGTGGACAACAGTACAAGCAAGGCAGGCACACATGACAGGACTGGGTTGTTCCTGGGACTTCTAAGTGTGTCACACTCCCAAAGTCATTCTCTATGACTTGCCAGTTTTCAAGTGAAAGCTCAGAGTGCTTTATGTAGTCAGTTGGAGCTTACAACTGAGGTGGTAAAATTATTTGAGTACATTTCCACATGACATCTGTATTCTATATTTGAGGCTGATTATTTTTATCTTAATTCCATTGCCCCCGTAAAATAAGGATCAGGTAACCAAACTTAAGCAGATTAATTGATATTTAAATTCAAATAATTGCTGTCTATTATCATTTATTTTTCTAGGATGAAACCTGATGATGACCCTAAAATACATTGCCCTAAAAATGAATGTGGCCCATTTAAAGTAAAATGCGAAAGTTTCTAGTTATGACTCCTCCCTCATGCTTTCCTAACATATGCTGAGTACTTTGGGGGTAACTAAAATAAACATAATTTCTTCCACTGTTTTGCTACACAGATCCTCAGTCTTTCTTTTGTCTGGTAAGGCACTACAATGCATAAAATTACTCTCTGAAATAAATTGATCTTGCAAGTTGTTATGAGGAAAAATTTCCTAGCCAAAAGGTATGTGGCTCTCATCCGTGTTTCACTTTAAATAGGGTACCTCTTAGGTAAAACTATGAAACAGATATAACTTAACTTCCACTACTCTTAGCAACAAGCTCTCCATTCTGTAAGAGTCTCTCCTCCTTCCCCAAGAGAATAGGGCATGAAGGCTTGGGCAGAGCAAAGAGGTTGTGGAAAGGGAAACATCTGATAAACTCATTTACAAACCAGGCATTCATGAGCCTTACCCAAAGGATTTATTTGTGTTCTTAAAAAAATTTCAGTCATTTGCAAAGAAGCCATTTTCAGGAAAATGTTTACTTTGAAACACGTAGGTGGCCACATACTCTGCTTTTATATAAAGATAATCATCTCTGATTGTGGGCTCAATATTATAGTATTCCAGATTAGAAATAACCAGTTCCAGCACCATATGCTGAAACTAAGAAATTGGCTGTGTACATATTGGTAAGCAAACAGATATTCTAATAAATAATAGTGGCAGACCCAGATGGATGTCTTTTTCATTCTAGAAAAAAACAGGATTTCAGTTTGCATGCCATGCCTTTATAGATATGCATGCAATTTTTTCCACAAACCCCAATTTTTTAGTCTTATCAGTATCACCTAACTGCCTCCTTAGAAATACGATAGTGGAACTTACTTCTCCATAAAAAATAAGGAAGAACATATTTTACCAGTAAGAATACTTGTGAACAAAACAAAGGCTCATGTCACCTCTGCAACTGTTATGAATCATAATATCACAGAATTTGTGGGCTCTTTATCTCTTATAGATTGAATAACTGATTAGCAATTTATAGTGACTACATCTGTCCTTCGAAGGAAACTAGCAGATTGTAATTAATGACTGAAAAACTCTCAGGGTTCTTGCTAACTATGAAATTGGGCTCCACTGAATATCATAAATTTAATTTGTTCTCTATTAACTACTAAAGAGGAACCACTATAACATGACAACAATTCCCCTACAGAGCTGTTGGAACAAAATCAATCACAGGACCATAGCTGTGAAACCTGGCAAAGGGTTCTACCGAGAGTGCTGATAACGGGATTCTATCTTTTTACTAAGCAACTAGACCCACCCTATTGGCCTAAGGCCTGGAATGATCCCCTTCATTTCCCCACTGAGCTCTCCCAGTTGGCAGCCGGTTGTATTGTTACCATGCCCTGGGGGCAAGCTCAATATTATTTTGAAAGTGGAGGTTGATGCAAATATAATGGAGAGAAATTTCTTGGGCTTAGAGGATATAAAGATGCTTGAAATAAAACAAAGGAATGGAAGGAAATACTTTCAAATTTGGTTAAAAATAGCTGAGAGAAGACCCATCAAGAACAATGGAGGAGGAAAGTGTATTAAAAGAACTGGACAGAGAAGAAGCAAAACCTTGACAGAGACATTGTTAGTAAGGATTTGTTCTTAATAGAAAACCTACATAAAAGAGTATCAATCCTTTCATTCATTTGCCTTCATTCTCTAGCTTGTTGCTGCCAAGGTTTTCGAGTGTTCCAAAACAGGATATTCATTTTATTTGGAAGCAGCTTGGACATTCCTCTAAAAAAGAAGGAAGCGTGGCAGAAAAAGGAAACACACTTCACACATTTCTGCTCTAGGGAGACAGAAGAAGAGTGTTTCTGACCTTTTCTTGAACCATGACGATTCTTAAAACTCAGAATGTAATGTACTTTTTGGCCTTAAACTACTGCACTGCTTTGCTCAGCACTGGAGGATTTACAATGTAATAAAGAGAGTGGAATCAGTTCAAAATGAATCATTTTTCAAACCTTGATCCTTTTTGGAATTTAAGTTGATGAACACAGACAAGTTTAGCAACAAGTTGACTTCCCAAGAGTCAGGCAACCATACTGACCTCTTATTTTACTGAAATGTTCTCCAGAGCAACAGTGTTATAGATTGTTAGCTAGAAATAAAAGTAAGGCCAGTTATAAACCAGTAAAATCCAAGGCCACACCTGAGGAGTAACGATTCATCACCCTTAGTGACAAACCACTTACACTTATGTTTTTAAGGGTCTCTGGTCTTTCCAGATCAAAGGAATGAGGAATTATGTATAAAGATATTACCTGGAGTAATAAATTTAGAAGAAAATGTCTACCCCTAGAAAAAGATACAGGAGCCAAAAGCACAGTGATTCAAAAACAAACATTGCAGATATGAAGCACTGATTAGACTGTGTTACACAGACTTTTCCTGGACGGTTACAAAAATAAAGTCCATCCATCTGTCAAAACAACTGCTCCATGCATGAAAATTAAAACAGAACTGAGGTGTTTTTAACTAACTTCCGATAATTATACTTTCTACAAAAGAATATGATTTACCTCCAATTCCAATTACCTCCTTGCATGTTCTTACATTCTGGATGGAGCAGTTAAATTTTACTCTAAGTAAGCGAAGAGAAAAGGAGAGAAGACTTGTGAACGTGAACAATCTCTATTCAAATATATTCAGTTCATGATTAAATCAAACAACTTGTTCTGGCTCAACTACGAATCAGTCCAAAATGAATGGGTAGCATATAACATTGACTCAGGTCAATGAGAATTCATGTAAAAAGAAAAAAAAAATGCTTCTATTCCATCAATAGTTTATGTAGAAATATTTTGGTGCATAATCTAGCAGCTGGGAAAGCAAAGGAAATCTTTTCCTATCATGATGGGTGGATACATTTATGCCTGAAAACCCATTAATAAGCTTAATTCCTGAAGTTAATCTGTTGACTTTCTTTTTCTCTGGTCAATTTATTTGGCAAGCTAGCTGAATACTGGAATCTTCGTGCCAAAGCAGTAATCCGTGAGATTGTTCCTGTCACTCACTTCATCCCTTCCTCTATTTAAGCTTTTCCGCACTTATCTGGCAATAATGTTTAGTCTTTTTTTTTTTCTTTTAACCTTGTGCTATTATAGCTGTAATCCGATCATCCATAATTGTGTCTTTCTAATACTTTACTATTCACTAAAGGATGTTAGAAATCTCTTCTCCAAAGAGGCTTATCTAATAAAACTAAAATATAAACCATGTTATAATTATGATATTAGCCTTCTAATGTTGAATTTGTGACTTGGAATTTTTTAACATTCACCTTTTAAAGTGATGAATAGGCAGTTCTGTCCATTTTGGGAGGCATTTTTACCATCAGTATTTAGAATATGCCATAATAAAATGAATTGAACTTTCCATATCAATGCTTTTATATGTTTTAGAGATTTAAAATAATACTGATTCAACTAACACAACAAAGTTAGCAATGTTACATAGCCAGTAATTTTGGTATGTAAGCATATTCATATTAATTGAACTATATCACCATTAAACCTATGATAACTGAAAAACAACTTTTAAAGTGGCTTGAATTATATGATTAAACTAAATGAAGACTCTCTGTATAAGGCTCACAAATTATTTTACTTAAATGTTCATTGCAGTTAAGTGCCCAATTTGACTGCTCTTTTCCCTCTAGATTGACTATTTGTTTTGAAGTTCTAGAAATATTGTTCAAGATTCTATAAACATTTTTCTTTCAAATTACTTGAAACCTTCAAACATGTTCAAAATGATTATCCACATAGGCACTATAGACTATGCTATTAGCAAAAGCTGACCGCTGTGATTTTCTTTTATTTAAAGGAGTTCAAAAAATTCACTTTGAAGTTCTGTGTGGACCATAGAAGCTTATGATATCAATTTTTAGGCTTATGTTTT